AGGAAAAGAAGCAAACCTTAGCTTAGAACCTATTGTGAAGTCTCCTGCACATTTCTGTTTTTGGCAGTTTACACATTAACCTGGATCTCGGGAATCTTGTAGACTTATCTGCCTAGGATCAACTTTACGAAAGCTGCAGGAAATTAACATTTATTGAGGGCCCGTTAGGTGCTGGGTCCTGGGAAAAGTGCATCTCTTAGGGGCTGAGTTCTGCTTTCTTTACTATAAAATTAATCTATGGAATATTTTTTAAAATCACCTATTTTAAATGAACAGCTCAATGAGTTTCAGGATTCATGCACTTGTGCATCCTTCAACCAATCTGTTTAAGACCCCTTCTATCACTCTAAGAGGTTCCCTCACACCCACTGCAATGAATCCCTGAGCCCAATCTCCAGCCCAGCCAACCTCTGACCTGTTTCATCTCTAGTTTTGCCTTTACTGAGAATTTCCATCACTCTTTTTTTTAAATTATTGATTATCAGTATAATTTCACGGTGTGTATATATGTGTCACGTTTTACCAGTCAACTTTATGTGGGAAGAAACTTGCTGGGTCAGATGATAAGTTCATGTTTAACTTTTTACCAAATGGATGTGCCATTTTATACTCCAACCAGCCCTGTGTGAGATTATCTTTGTCATTTTAATTCAGTTATCTTATTACTGAGTTGCAAAGGTTCTTTATATATATTTTAGGTAAAGTCCTTTGTTTAGCAATCACTTTGCAAATATTTGCTTAACATCTGTCACTTGTTTTTTTATTTTCTTAATTTCTTTTTTATTTTCTTATTTCTGAAGAACAAAAATTTAATTTTGATGACATCTAATTTATTTTTTTCTTTTACTGTCCATAACTTGTATTGTTATCTAAGAAAATGTTCCCTAATCAAAGGGCAACTTTCTACTCTTTTTCTAGAGGTTTTATACTTTCAGCTCCTTCGTTGAGGTTCACAATACATTTTGATTTAGTTTTTGTGTTGGGAGTAATGGTAAGGGTCAATGCTCATTATTTTGCACATGGAAGTCTAACTGTTCTAGCACTTTTTGTTGAAAAATCATCTCTGCCTATAGCACTGGGATGCAAATCAATAGAGCACATATCTGAGGATTTATTTCTGGACTTGACCTTCTACACCACTGATCCATGCATCTATCCTTATGCCAACAGCACATGTTCTTGGTTACTGTAGCTTTACAGTAAGTTTTGACATCAAGAAGAGTGAGTCCTCCAATTTTGTTCCTTTGCATTTCCATATACATTTTATTCTCAGTTTGTTAATTTCTACCAAAGGACAAAGCCTACTGAGATTTTGACAGAGATTAAATTGAATATTTAGATCAATTTGGGGAGACCACCAATATTGAGTCTAGTCCATGAATATGGTATGTATTGCATTAACTTAGTTCTTTTATTTCTCTTAATGATATTTTGTAGTTTTCAGTGTATAGCTTTCACATTTCTTGTGTTAAAATTAATTAAGCATTTTATTCTTTTTGATGTTTTAGCAATGAAATTGACCTGTTTAAAAATTCATTTTTAGATTTCCATCATCAACATATAGAAATATAATTGATTTTTGTTTATTGACCTTTTATCTTGCAACTTTGCTAAATTCATCTCATTACTATTCTAGTAACTTTTAAGTGGAGTACTTAGGATTTTCTACTACAAAGATCACATTGTTTATGAACAAAAACATTTTTTCTTTCCAATTCTTATGCCTTTAATTTCTTGTTCTTGTCTTATGGTCCTTGACTTTTGTACCTGAATTACTAGCAAACATTTCTGCAGTACATTGTACACTGTTTCATGAATGTTGAATCAGATTTTTGTATATCCTTCACCCTAATGAATATTTTTAATAGTGCATAAATGCCTGCCAGTCAAGAATTCTATTTAAGCAGCACTGCTATCTTTGTTTATGAAATAGTGTTGGATAATTATTTAAAAATGTGAACTGCATTTTGCACTTATCATTAAGAAAAGAAGGAACAGAAATGGGAAAAAGATAGCGCTGCCATCAGTAATAAGCAGGAGTCTCGTAAACTTAACGGCAATTCAGACAAAGATGAAAATCATTAGCCGTGTGAAAGCGGCAATTCTGTGGCATCAATTATGTGGTCAGCGGACTTAACAAGCTGGTCAAGCACAAGAAAGAGTAAAACTAGAGAACATAACTTGGCAGCTGAACATATAACATCAAAGTCATGTCTGAAATGCAAGGTACCATCAGTGATTTTATCATACACGTTAGGTCTCCAGGAACGTAACTGCCTTTGTGACATGTACAGCCATTGTTCTACTTGAACACAAATCAGCTCACAGACACACTGAAGAACACAGTGGGTCTCAAAATGTGGGAAATACCAGGACTTCCTTTAATCTCACAAAACTGCCAAGAAAGGTGTCACAATCCCATTTAGAAATCACAAACCAGACACAGAAATGTTAGTCACTTGCCTAAGTTATAGTTAACTCATAGTGGAGACAAAACTCAAACTCAAGTCTGTTAGGCTCCAAATGCTTTAAATGAGGCCTGTTTTCCTGAGCAACCCAGTTCCCGGGTGCCGATACCCAAGTCCAGCCTTGCTCGCCTATGCAGGGAGCCTCTGGTTGCACATCTGCATGACTTCTGACGCCAGGATTTCCCCAGTGACTCACAGGCTACCCTGCAACGACTAGAGAAGAATGATTATCCTGGCTTGTTCTAGCCTAAAACCACCAGCCTGAGTTTTAAACACAATCCTATATAATAAAGAGGTAGTATGCAAATTAGCCCTCATGTCCTCACAAGATGGCTGCCTACGACTAGACCAGCAGGGGAGTTTAGTGAAAAACAACCAAACAACTGAACACCAAGCTGCATGGGGTGACCAGGTTGGCTGGGGGTCTGTGAGGGGCAACCAGATTGGCAAGGGGGGGGCAGCTGGGGACAACCAGGCTGGCAGGGAGGGAGTGGTTGGGGGCGACCTGGCCAGCAGTGGGGGGCAGTTAGGGGCAATCAGGCTGGCACGCAGAGGCAGTGAGGGGTGATTAGGCCGGCGGGAGGGGGGGACAGTTAGGGGTAACCAAGCAGGCAGACAGGCAGGCAGGTAAGCGATTAGGAGCCAGCAGTCCAGGATCGTGAGAGGGATATCCGATCCCTGGGTTCGAGCCTAAACCAGCAGTCAGACATTCCCTGAGGGCTCCCGGACTGGAAAGAAGTGCAGGCTGGGCTGAGGGGAACACCCACCTGCCCTCACTCCCCTGTGCACGAATTTTGTGCACCAGGCCTCTAGTAAATAATAAATAAAAAAATGTGAGGTGGTTACATAAATAAGATACATGGACATAAATTGAGAGCTGGGTTTGAAATCAGTGTGTGATTTTCCATTGAGTTTGGGGCAGAAATGCCCAAAAGTTGGACTAAGAAAGGATATTAACGTTTTTAAGTGAGGTAATTCAGGCTTTTCTTCTCTGCTTTTATGTTTGGGCAGACACATTAAAAAAAATGAATGCAAAAAAAGTTACCATAAAAATCATTAAATTGTGGCTGGGCGATAAAGGTCAGCCTTCTCTCTCAACACCCTGCCAGGAAAATCCTAACCCCTGGGTGCAGATGACTCAGACTGAAGTCTTCACGGTAGTGTGGTTGTGCAAGGCCAGGAGAAGTGGCTCAGGCTGTATTTCCACGGTGAGGACACAGAGCGGGGGAGAAGGAAGCCACAGCGCAAGAGCTTCTCCTTGTGCCCTAAGAACACATTCACTAGGGGCTGTGGATTTCTTGGTTAATTAACTAGAAAGCCTTTCAACAGGCTCTTTCCAGAAACAAATACACATCATAGCGCCCCCTGCTCTTGGCAACACACAGAGCCAGAAACAAGCACAGAACCAGAAACCACCGTCTCTATCCCCGAGGTGGAAAAATAGGCCCCGTGAGAAGCGAGGAAGCTGTGCTGCATCACGGCACCTCTGAGCAGCAGCCCTTTGGAAAGAGACCCCCTCTCTCCCTCAAACCTTTTCTTTTACTTCCTGCATGAACCTGGTCATCGATCCCACTCCCCAAGTAACGCACGCATCTTACAATCCATCTAGTGTCCAGTCATGAAGTGGGACGCCCTGGAAAAAGCTCCGTGGTTAGCACAATATTAGAAGAAACAGCCTACACAACTGAGGGACACGGTGGCCCGGCCACCGGGCAGAGGAGGGGCCTGCGACTATGGGTTCACAGCCTGCGGCCCGTTTGTAAATAAAGTTTTATTAGAACACGACCATGCCCATTCATGGAGGTCTTATCTATGGTGGCTTTCTTGCTACAAGGGCAGAGTTGCACACAGAGACGGTCTGGCCCACAAAGCCTAAAATAACTAAGGTGTCACGATTCCCATTTTTACAGGAAAAGTTGGTCAACCTTTGAGATACTATGTTTAAAATAATATGGAAAAATACCCATGTTAAAATGTTAAGTATAAAAAAAAAAAATAGGGTACATCAGCAATTTTCAACCAGTGTGCTGCAAGAGTTTTTAAAACATGCAATACCTGACTACTTAGGGCACTGACCTCTTTTCCCTTAGACTGTCAAATAGTATATGACAACAGCCAGCACAATAGCCACCTGGTGTGAATGAATCAAAATTACACTTTTTTGCCAGATCGGCAAAAAAATATATTTTTGGAGTTCCGAAGAGTTTTAGTAATTAGTTTATGGGTGCCAGGAGACGAAAAAAGGTGAAAATAGCTGATGAAAATCACAGAAAAGTGGACCTGAGAGAGACCACAGTGTTAAGCAGTTGGATTGGGGTGGTAGCCTTACGGGTGATTTTTCTTACTCCACCTGGAATGACCTTACCTTTCTATTATGATAGAAAGAAACCGAACCTCACTGTGCACATGAATTCAGTTCACACCTGCCTTGCACACAGCGGTTGTGACCACATTCGGCAGCCCCCCTGCCCGCCTCGGCCCACGCACAGGTATGCTGAGGGTGGGAGGGGGGCAGCGAGTCCCGGCAAGTACCTTATGCTCGTCCCGCAGGTGGCTGTCCAGCTCCTCCGTGTGCTTGGCCTCGTAGTAGCAGAGCTGGCACTTGTACGGCTTCAGTTCATTGTGCTTTTCTATGTGCTGCTGGAGGCTCTCGTCGCTGGAGCAGGTGAAGGTGCACTTGTCGCAGCGGAAGACCACGCCCTGCAGGTACTTGGACAGCTTGGACCGGCACACCTCGATGGGGACCACACGCTCCTCTGCGGGGACAGGGGCGATGGGAAGACGGGGACCGTTACTGACGGCGACACTCACGAGAGGAAACTCACCCATTCCATTTGCTGCTTCTTACAATGTTCGGCCCATGACCCGCACACACAGACTCCCCTCCCCTCCATCTTCTGAACGCACATATTCCTCGACACAAACCATGTTTCTTGAGACCGAAACTTCTGTGTGTTTCTATCCAGAATGGTCTGCACACAGGGGTGGGCAGGCTGGACGGCGCTTGTTAGGCTCAGAGTGGAGGAAAGGGAAGGAGGGATAAGAGATGGGAAGTGGCCAAAACCAGTTTGGCACAGTGGATAGAGTGTCAGTCTGCGGACTAAAAGGTCCCGGGTTCAATTCCAGTCAAGGGCATGTACCTTGGTTGCGGGCACTTCCCCAGTTAGGGGGTGTGCAGGAGGCAGCTGATCGATGTTTCTCTCTCATTGATGTTTCTAGCTCTCTATCCCTCTCTCTTCCTCTCTGTAAAAACTCAATAAAATATATTAAAAAACAAAAAAAGAGATGGGAAGTGGCGGCTGTTTCTATCAACATTGATGATGATTGACAGCGACTGATTCCTCCTTCTTCCGTGGGATGTCTGTAAGGGGGGGCAGGACATGGACATCCCCAAGTGCCTCTGCACTCCCACTGTGCGCCTTCCTAGCAACTCAACGAGGCTCGAGTCATCCCCATGTCTTACAAACGGGTAAGGTGAGGGACAGAGCTCTCCGAACTTCAAAACCCACAGACACTGACATCGGCCACGCTGGGACTCGTGCCCCCATCATCTCCAATTCCATTCCCCTTCCCCTTTCCTGCATGTTCTCCAAGAGACAGTTTTTCTCTCCCTGAAACCAGTGGCATGTCTAGTCTAACATCAAATCTGAAAATAAAGCAGCCCGAAGCACACTTTCATTCACCGAAACTCCAGCTCCAGCTGTGAAGCGCCCACAACACAGAAAGGCTGCGGGCAGAGGGGGCGGCTGCTGGGAGACGCGGGGGATTTGTGCCTTTTCAATCCCTAATCAATGACTGTTACAAGGCGGTGGGGGGAATCAAAGCAGAGGATCTGGGTGGTGCTTTCCACCGGAACCCGTGCGTGCTTGTGTTCGCTGCGCCCCTCGCCCTCGTGTTCCAAATTAAATTTCACACCCGTCTGCCCAGAGCGCCGGCACGCGAGCCAGAACCCGTGCCTGGGATAAAACTAAAATCTGTGCTGTTTTTGCGAGGATCACATACAGCGTGCGCCTCCACGCTGTCTGCATTTCAGAAGGCCGTCTGTAGGTTTACAAACGGACGCACACAACATGTTCTTACGTTATTTAGAAACAGCGGCGTGTGATTAAGCCAAGAGAGCGTGATTTATCCCCGGAGCCGCTGAGCAGCGAGGTTCCCTGGGCGGCAGCGGTATGTGGTGCGCTGGGGGGACTCAGCGGGGGAGCCCGCCCTTTGCTGTTGGGGTGTGTTGGGCACCCCCCCCCCCCCCCGGGAGGTCTCCCCAGCCCATGCTGTGCCTGAGTCTCAGCCATCACATCCTCCCTGCAGGGCAAGCGCCGCCATGGGAGCCATGAGCACAGCTGCTAATTGGCCAGAGGAGAAGCCGGGCAGAGGGAGCTGGCAGGTGGGGTCCGTGACCTCTCCAGGGCTCCGATGCACATGTTAATTTCCCGAAGCAAAGAGTCAGCCGCTCATTTAGAAATATGTTTGTTTTGTTGTGTTTTTTTTTTTTTTTTTTTTTTAAACGGAGGACAGCAGACAGCTAAGAAACACATGGTTATGATGCAATCCACACATTTTCCCAGGAGGGCAAATGTTTACCAGCCTTCTAACCATTCAGCTCCGCGGTTTGGTGTGGTTTAGTGTAAAGGAAGGAGAAAAGCTTTGGCATACACCAGGAGCCTTAAGAGAGCCCATCTGGCTCAGTGGATGGAGTGTCAGCCTGAAATGTCCCAGGTTCGATTCTGGTCAAGGGCATGTACCTTGGTTGTGGGCACGTCCCCGGTAGGGGGTGTGCAGGAGGCAGCTGATCAATGATTCTCTCTCACTGATGTTTCTAACTATCCCTCTCTTTTCCTCTCTGTAAAAAATCAATAAAATATATTTTTTTTAAAAATCGGTCTTTTCAACGTGTTTATATAAGTTTCTGTTTGAATCCCTCTACCACTCCGCTCGTTGCCTTTGCAGTGTCCAGTTCCGCTCTGTGTGCCGAAGTGAATGTTACTCAGTCCCGAGCCCCTGGGACAATGCCATGGCGTTTAAATAGCGGTGACTCAGGCGAGCGACTACTACTACCATGTTTCCCCGAAAATAAGACATCCTCCCAAAATAAAACCTACTTACAGGTTTCCTTCTGAGTGAAATATAAGGCATCCCCTGAAAATAAGGCCCCCCTAGGCTAACCATGAAAGATTTGGTCCACTGAGTCTGAAAGAAATGGAGTCACAAGAAATTCACCAGGAAATTCAGGAATTGGATTGTTATGATGATGTTCCAGAAGATGATGACATGATTGTCATTGAATAAATGAGTAAATTGATACTGTAGGATTCAGTTTGTCTGGTTTCTGTTGACAACTACTGTACTACCGTACCGTATACAGGTAATAAATTCCCTTTATTTTCATTTAACAATAAATGTGTACCGTATTCTTCTTCATGGAAAAATAAGACCTAGCGCATCTTTGGGAGCAAAAATTAATATAAGACACTGTCTTATTTTCGGGGAAACAGGTTATCTATGAAGTGCTCCCTGCGGTTCGGCCCTCTGCCCCCACAGCTCCTTTTCATCCTTCTAACACCTTGCGGAGCCCGTTTTACTGTCTCCGGCGACGGCCGGGGAACCGGAGAACCGACCTGTCCGCTGTCTCCTCCACGTCCCTCCTCTGGGTCAGTCCAAGCTGGGAGCTGGGAGCCCAGGCCGCCTGACCTTGGCCGGCGCCCTCCTCCTTCTCCCTCCTCCTTCACCCCCGAGCACAGGGAATGTCCCGTCTGCAGGCAGCCAACGTGTAAGCCTCTCGTTCCCAATCGTGTGAAAAGGCAAACGCTGTTGGCTTCTGAGGCAGCCACTTCAATCTGGATTTCTTTCCAACAACCTCTGGATTTGCTAGAAGAGACGTTTCCCTACTTACTTGCCCCGAAAGGTAGGGCTTCCCACTTCCAAACTAAGACGTGACCAGCATCCCAAGGCTCTTCATTGTATGGATCTTCACTAGCGTCACTTTTAGAAAACCGTTAGCTTTTCCTTTCGGAAAAATATAAGCTAACATGACCGAGATGAAAAAGCACCAACAGGAGAGATTTTGAGAGGCGGGCACTGAGCAACGGCGTTTTCTGAATGAGGTTATTCATTCCTGAGGCGAGCAGGGGACATAAAGTGAGAGGCGGGACTGTTCCTAGGTGTTTCTAGGGATGGAGACCTTCTTGGCTGCAGAAGCCCAGCGCTCAGGGCTTTTTTTTTTTTTTTTTTCCCCCTGCGGGGCAGCGACAACTGTGGGCCTTTCTTGACTTCACACCTCTCCCAGTCACTCTGGGCGAGAAACCGGGGCCTGAATCGCACTCATTGTGCCTCAGCCTTCAGCGCTGGCTGTGAAAAGACCATGACTTCAACGGTTCGACTGCAGGACAGACCATGTCTCGCATCCCCTCCTTGCGTCTGGTGCTGCGGCCGGACAGACCCTGAGAGGCTGACTTTGGGGACACACTCATGGAGGTGGTGGGTGCCGGGGTGCTGAAGGCCCAGGAAGGGGGATGCTGCCAGCTCCTGGGATACCCCGTGGACGAGCTCTCGGAGCTGCCGCTCCAAAGTGGGGTCCCTTCTGCTTAAAACAGCAAAAGCCAGTTCCCTGTGGAGTCCAGCATCTCAGTAAAAATTCCTCCTGAGAGACAGACCACACGCACCTGGGTTTCCGCCCGCAGCGTGCCAGGTCCGAGGGAAGCAGGGAGAGAGCTGGAAGCCATTCGCTCCACAAACTCTGTGCACAGACCATCACACTCGGAGCGCCCAGACCAAAGGCCCACCCGTTACTCCCTCGCAGCCGAAAAGCAACAAGGGGGAGTCCTAGAAAGCTGTTAGGAATATAACAAAAGATTCTTTAAAAAAAGAAAAAGTCATCCCCTGCCCTGGCCAGTGTTGCTCAGTAGTTAGAGCATCAGTCTACAGACCCAAAGGGTTTTGGGTTCGATTCCTGGTCAAGGGCATGAACCTGGGTGGCAGGTTTGATCTCTGACCCGGTCAGGGTGTGTTCAGGAGGCAACCGATGCATGTGTCTCTCTCACATTGTTTTTCTCTCTCTCTCTGCTTTCCTCCCTCCCACCCTCCTTTTCTTCTTCCCTTCCACTCTCTCTCTAAAAAAGCAAAGGAAAAATGTCAGGTGAGGATGAACTACAGCAACATCATCCCTTAGCATAACTACGTCGAGACACATAAACACAAGCACAACAGCTATCAGCGAGAAGTTATTATGTTCCGATGTGAGCCAGGTCCCTACCCTCAGCCAGAGAGATTTGGAAACTGCACTTCTGACTTGAACAGGCAAACACATTTGATGGGGATGGAAGGGAACATGTCATTTTGCTGAATAAGATGAAAGATTGGCCATCTTCACTGTACATTTTTTTTTCCCCTCAAGAAGAACAACACTGATCGAATAAATTAGGGGAAATTAGTTCTGGTCCAAAAAAGACGCTCACCTACAAGTGTCGGCTAAAGTCACTGTCTGTGTAGGTACTGGGGTTACAGGCTGGGAAACAGACACTTTATGCTCACATGCCAACTGAAGAGCAGTGATGGCAAATCACACAGCTCCATAACTACAATGCAAATATTTGGCAAAAAAACAAAACAAAAAAACCCCTGTATTTCATCCCATAATTCAATCTGTCCACTGCAGGTGCCCAAAGTACATACAGGCAGAGCTACGCATGAGGCATCCTGCTTCTTATGACCATAAATCGAATGGAAATACACTCAGGAAACAATACCTTTGTTCATCGCCGCTCCTCCCATTCAAATTCAAGTTCCCAAAGTGTGGATGAGTCCCAAGAGCTTAACACAAAGGTGAACCCTGTGAGCGTTCAGTCAACGGCACAGGGGGCCCCACACAGGGAGGAAGGCCTGTGCAGACGGAGGCAGGGACTGGCATGATGCAGCTGAAGGCAGAGGAGGCAGGAGCTGCCCGGAGCCAGTGCCAAGGAGGGGTTCCTTCAGGACAGCAGTCGCCAACCTTTCGGACCTCCTGGGTCACCAGTGGTTCGGGGACCACTGGTTGGCGCCTGCTGCTGCAGAGCCTTCAGGGAGAGCACAGCCCGGGAGACCTGGATTTCAGACTTCCAGGCTCCAGAATGGTGAGAGAAACTCCTCTGTTGTCTTAAGTCACCCAGGAAAGGAACAGACCTCACCTTACGTCTTTACTGCCTCCTGAAACGTGGTCATGGCTGTTTGAAAGCCACCCGCTCCACCTTTCTGGACCCTCAAACAGAAGCCTATCGCCACTGTGAATCTCCCGAGATACCTGTCACTCACTACCTTCTCCTCGAGGCAGGTAGGCGCTGGGTCTCACAGGCCCAATCGTCCCCAAGGAGCCCTGCACAGCCTGGCGTGTGGCCAGCGGAGAAGGAACGCCTGCGGACGCACGAATGAGCAGTAGGCTCTCTCCCGCCACAGCCGACACAAACCAGGAGCATTTCTCATTCAGATTTCCCGGGAGCGAAACAGATTGTCTCTCTCTTTCCTCCCCATTTAAACACACCCGTGTGTCGGGGCGAAACGCTAAAGAAAGTTTGGTCCTGGCAGCAGTAGCTCTGTCTCAGGACCAGCTCAGCAGCTGTTTACTACCTTGCCTTTTGCTGCAATTATTTTAATTCACCGGGGCTCCAGAAACACGTCTTAGTCTTCACACGGGCCCCAGAGACCAAAGACGTGTTCTCATCCAGGGAGCCGGGGATGGGGGTAGGGAGGGGGACACAGATACAGAGAGAGCCACATCTTGTGCTGAGATCAGCCCCGCTCAGCAAGGCAGACACCCAACCGTCTCTTGACTTGTCAAGACCAGCCTCCCACTGAGCTGCATTCGGAGTTGGGATGGCCAACCAACCGAGTCCCACATTAGCATTTCATCTCGCTGTGCCCCCCCCCCCCTTCCTTAGCCGGCTCCGTGTCCACCTTCCTTGCGTTCTCAGCGCAGGGAGGGAAAGTCACAGAGCTCATTAGGACAGAAGCTCTGACCCCGCCAGGCGGCAGAACGGGGGAAGAGGGAGTCAGCTGCAGAGGGGAGGTCCCACTGTTCCTGTTTGCTCGGCAGCAGCACGACCACGGCCCCTCCCATGCTCTGAGGGGGCACAGAGCCGCCCTGACACATGGGCCCCGGGACCAGAAGCCAGGCGGGACCCCGCGGGCCAAGACTTCCCGTCTAAATGACCCCACGCTGCTTCTCCCAGCCTGCAGGGGCGCCACTTGCCTGGATTCAGACTGAGTAGAAAAAGAAACAGATTCCCCCAAATACTTCATTCTTTTTTTTTTCTTTTTAAGTATAGTTGACCCACATTCGTTTTACTAGTTAACAGTATAGGTGTACGATATAGTGATTCAACATTTTTATACCTTGCACTCTGATCATCCCACTAACTTCAGTAACCAATCATCCGTCATCATGCAACCTCATCACAATATTACTGACTACAGTCCCCTCCCCTTTTCACCCATCCCCCCATCCCTACACAGAAACCGAACACTTTATTCTTGAAAACGAGAAACTCCTTATTAAAATCCCTAGAATGCTACCCCTGCCACTGCCACGGTGAGCGGGTACCCTATGCCACCCTCCCCTGCCCCGGAAGCTGTGCCGGGTGGTTACCTCGGTGCAGCACGATGTGGTCGATCATGTTGCGCTTGTATTTGGTGTGATAGAGGCAGAGGGGGCAGCGCAGGTCTTTGGGTCCCTCCTCGGGCACGGCTGAGTGCCCAGCTTCCACGTGCATAGTAAAGGCAGACCTGGGGGAGAGGAGACAGGCAGGCGATCAGCGTGACAAGGGACCGTTTCACTCGCACACACACCCCCTGCCGGCGACCTGGCTGCAGGCTTCCCGGGGCGGCGCCCTTGCTCGAGGGCCCAGACTCTCAGGGTTGCCGAGCAGGAGCTCCTTGGTCACCCAACCAACCATGGACCATGGTCACAAAGGGGTCACTCCTTTCTGGGAATTTTGCCCCTCGGCTGGATTCAAAGTTAGTATAAAAAGAAGTGGGTTCCCCTAAATACATGATTCTTCTTTCTTTAAGTATAGTTGATATAGATTAGTTATACTAGTTTCAGATGTACCATGTAGTGATGTCACAGTTTTATACCTTACTGGAGGCCCAGTGCATGAATTCACGCACTGGTAGGGTCTGACTGGCCCACCCCAATCGGGGGGTAATGGGAGGCCATATGGGAGTGGGAAAGGGCCATGGGCTGTTGGCCGGATGGCCACCCTCAGGTCAAACACTTGGTGGAGGGGGCCATTTGCATATTAGCTTTTTATTATATAGGATAATATGACCAGCCCACTAATTCTAGTAATTGTCTGTCACTACACAAACTTACAGTATTATTGACTAGATTCCCCTCCCCATTTCACCCATCCCCCACGCCTCTGGTTTCCATTTCTATGAGTCTCCCTGAAACACCTGATTCTGGAAAATGATTGTTTATTGAAACCATTACAACAAAATCCCTACGAGAACACCTTTCTCATCACGCCTGGAAGGAGAGGGGCTGCTTTAAAGATGGGTGATGGACCACCTGCCTCATGACTCTTCACAGGTAAGGGGGCGGGCAAGTGGGTGAGGAAGCAAGACCTGGCCCATCGGCTAACTACACGCAGGGCCGTGGCACCTCCCGGAGGCGGAAGAGTATTGCTGCCTCCCCTTCAGCCTTTTTGGAAGTTCACAATTAAAAAAATATATATTTTTTAATTGATTTCAGAGAGGAAGGGAGAGGGAGAGTGAGACAGAAACATCAGTGATGAGAGAGAATCACTGACCGGCTGCCTCCTGCACGGGGTGTCCACTTTGGGATGCTTTGACTTTTTTTAAACCCATTTGTCCTGACACAGCTCTTCATCCCTCCCACACCCCCCAGAGCAGTCTTCTGGAACGAGGCTTTTGGGGTACAGACTGGTCCCAGCCCCTGCATCTCCACCCAGTCCCCTCCCCCCCAGGGGGGGCAGGGCCTCCCTGAGCTCCGGGTAGGAGGGTGTAAGGAGCCTGTGGCGAGGGGCGGGGCAGGGGCAGCCACCTGGTTCTGCGAGGCCGTTCTCCATGCCACTTACTTGAAGCCCGTGTAAAAAGAGCAGTCCTTGCACTTGAAGAGCTTCTTGCCGCCGTGCTTGTCCCTGTAGTGGCGCCGGATGCTCTGGATGTAGCCCGAGGAGAATTCACAGAATTCGCAGTGGAGCACCGCCTCGGCCTTCTGCTCCCCGGAGAGCGGCCCGGGGCTGACGCGGCTGTTGTTCCTTGCCAGCGCGGCCGACTGGTAGTGGTTCAGCTGCTGCTGCACGTCGGGGGGCTCCGAGTAGGACGAGTCTGTGGACAGACGGGGGGCATGACAGGGGCACGGAGAACACAGTGGGGAGACGCTCGGGAACTCCAGCATTGGTTCCACGGACGCCTTGTAAGGGGAGGAGCTCCTCTTTCATCTTCATCTACACTCAGCCCTTCTCTGGGGAAAGGTGGGGGGGGGAGGGAGGAGGGAGGACAGGAGGAAGTGTCACTCTCTTTCCTCTGACCTGGAGGGTCCATCCCACATGACAAGAAAACTCTGAGGCTAAAGGTGTCAAAGTGAAGGAAGAAAGGGAACGGCAGCGTGGCCACAGCTGCTGCAGGACGCCCGTCCTTGTAGGGGAGATGGATAAACCGCACCACGAGCCCAGGATGCCCCGTGGGAGAGGCAGGTAAGGAGGCGATGTAACATCCCCCCCGCTCTGTATCTGGACTCATTCAAACCTTCCCCCCCTGCCCCCGCCTTTAGCAAAAGGGCTCTGGCACACGGCACTCGCCAATATAAAAGTGTTTTATGCCTTCACAGTCGAGTGGTTTAAATTTTAAAATATAAAAATCTGACAGTGCTCCCCTGGAATGGATGTTTAGAGCTGAGTCAGCATGGAGGAGGGAGATGTATTCATAAATCCCATTAGAATGAAATGCAAACAGGTCTCCCTGAAAGGGGTTTTGAAGTTTGCCATTTGGATGAGAATGTGGGAAGCGACAGGCACCAATCTCAACCCCAGGGGCCTCCGAGGCCCGGGGTGGAGAGATGCGGCCTCAATGGCTGGGAAAATCGGAGTTTCTTCTTTAAAGTAATAATAATAATAACAACAACAACTACTACTAAATAATTTCTTTGAAAAAAAAGAGAGAAAGGAAGAGAAAGGTCTTGAACCTTTCCCAACACACAACGTTGCATGTTGAGGCTGGGAATTCACAGCAACCGTGCAGGTGAATTTCAGTGGAACTTTCCTCAAAAGAACATGCGTGGCTCTTCTCTAACAGCCTTTCAGGAGCAGGGAGTGGGCACAAGGCTGCCCCGGCCTCCTCCCCGCTGGACGGACACCTCCTGCTCCAGAGCACAGTCCACCGGCAGGCGAGGAGGGTTCTGCAAACCTGTCCATCTCGTTGGCCTCTTCGCCCCCCAAAACAAACCCAGAGCAGCCTGGCTTCCTGGGAAGGCACCTCCTGCCTTCGAAACACTGAGCCCCCCTCTTCCTGTCTCGCCCTCCTCCCCACCCCTAATCTGTGCTCCTCACGACGGAGAGAAAGCCCTTCGGAAACGGTACACGAGCCTGCCAGACGCACAGATGTGAAACAAAAGGAGACGTGAACAATGCCGGAGCCTCCCTGGTTCCTGACCAGGTGTACAGTACAGGGAAGACGGGACACGCTGCATTCATCCCGCCCCATTCTTTCGTCTCCCTTTTCTCCGGTCCTCGACCTCCCCGGTGAACCCACTCAGGATCACAACAATGCAATTGTCAGCTCCTCATTCTCCCTCTCAATAGCAGGCTTGTTTACCATTTCAGGGACTGTTCGAGAGGTTTCCTACGTAAACCCTCAAGACCAGCTTCTGCTTAACACGCGTACAATGAAGCACAAAACGTGCCCCGCCTCTCTCGTTAGCGCGGCTGGAGCTGCGGGCTCCACATATGGTCCCGCTGGCACCCTGACAAGCCCATCCCTCCTGGCAGCGCTTGTCCTGGCTCCCTCTTGGCTCCTCAGAGAAAAGTTCTGTGACCCGCGAGGCCAAGGAGGGGCCAGGAGGCAGTCCACTATCCATGTCTCCTTAGACTTAGCCCGGTATTCTCTCTGGGGTCCACTGCCTATTCCAATGATCTCAAAGCCCGCAACCTAGGACCCTTCAGTCCGCAGGCCAATGCTCTATCCACTGAGCCACGTCAGTTAAGGCCGGAGGTAGAACGTATACAAAGACCTGTCCGACTCTGAAGTCTGAGTCGTGTCTATTGGGCATCTGTACCCAATGCAGGGTCCCGTGATGCAGGTCAGAAGAAAGAGGAAGAATATCTGAGTGCCCCACCATCAATAACACACAGGAAGAGGGCAGAGAGAGAAGGTGGCGGAAAGGCTGAAATACGTGAGAAAATAACATTAGAATAGATAAAAATGATAACTGGATAGATTTAAAAAAAAATAACATTAAACTAAATATGAAAGCAAACACTAAAACTAGTACCCTGTTTCCCCGAAAATAAGACAGTGTCTTAATTTTTTTCTCCCAAAGTTACGCTAGGTCTTATTTTCAGGGGATGTCTTATCTTTCCATGCGTTAGGTCTTATTTTCGGAGGATGTCTTATTTTCGGGGAAACACAGTAGTTTACAGCAACGGGGATACACACAGTAAGATTTGTGGGAAAGGAAAACATTCAAAATTTCAAAATGACTTATGTTTTTTTAAAAAGGTGTGTGGGGTGGGGTGGGGGAATCACACAGGAGACATTTCTACAAGCCTGAGGCACAGCACCCAGAACTGGGTGTCCACCCGCCCACTGGCACGTAGAACTGAGATGCGTGATCAGGTGCCCTAGAACAGTGGTCGGCAAACTCACTAGTCACCAGAGCCAAATATCAGCAGGACGACGATTGAAATTTCTTTGGAGAGCCAAATTTTTTTAAACTTAAAACTTCTTCTAAAGCCACTTCTTCAAAATAGACTCGGCCAGGCCGCGGTATTTTGTGGAAGAGCCACACTCAAGGGGCCAAAGAGCCGCCGTTTGCCGACTACGGACCTAGAAAACTGATGCTCTTCAAGCCGTCGGCTGGGGTCTGGCTGGGAAAGGAAAGGCACCGGAGTGCGGCCGGGAGAGGGTGCTTCAGGCTGGGCTCGGACAGCCCAGGACTTCACACCAGGGGAGGGCTGAGTCCAGATGAGGCCTCCCACCCTCTCGCCTGCGCATCTTCCCGGAGAAACGGGAGATTTCTTACTCTAATCCCAGCTCCCCAGAACACCCGCCAAAAGGTTTTACTTCCTTTTTCTCCAGAAATTGGCCAGCACGGAGACTGACTGCTAAAGGGAACCTGACTTCAAAGGCAAGTGACACCCCAAGAACCCTGGGAGGAGAGGAGCATGGCAGAGGGAAGCTTTCCTGGATATCCTGATTCCGTGACCATCTCGGCTGCACCCTCTGGCGCTGGGCCACGTGCTGGCTCTCCGAGTTCAAAGTCAGAGCAGACCTGAGGGGAGACTTCCAGGAACTTGGATCTCCCAGGGAGAGCGCAGAGCGGCTGGCTGCTAGGAGAACACGGGCCTGCTCCCCATCTAGCAAACCTCCGCCAACCGAAGGCATGAGAGAGGCAGCGAGAACAAACGGACCGAAGTGACAGGAGGGTCTAACTGCGGCAAGACCGAGGAAGACACTCGAAGCGTCAGAATCTACTGGGCCGTGTGTGGAGGGAGCCACAGAGGACACCCAGTGATCCAGGAGGGAGGCCACACCGGAGGCCCCATTCTCCACTGTCGGCAGCTGGTGTGAGGGTAGCCGAGGGGCCTGGGTGCCAGCCACCACAGTTAGCTCTATTTGGGCTAGATGTCTGGGCAGACTTGGGAGGCAGGTTCTCTGGTTAGCGTGAATCAAGTACCGGGAGGGAAAGAAAAGACAAAAAAAGACAAAAAGGGGTGTAAGTCAAGCCCATTTTAGGAGTGGCCAGGGGGCAAAGGATTTCAATGACACCAATTCACTCGGCAAATACTTACTGAGCATCCAAGTCAACTGTTCTGGGGCAGTCAGACCTGGCCCCTGACTTCAAGCAATGCCCTGTCTCAGACAGATGTGTAAACAACTGGTTGTGATACAATGCAAAAAAAAAAAAAAAGTCTTAAGAGAGACATCTGTAAAGAGCTGGTGGAGGAGAAAGAAAAAGCAGCGGCACCAGGTGACATGTTGGGATGTGGGCATGAGGGGGATGGAGGGACCAGGTCAAGTGCACCTGAGTGCCCCTGAGTAAATGAACTGTGTTAGTCAGCGTGTCACCTAATGAATCCACACTAGACATGAAGACACCTAAATGTTCAATTCTCCATACCTCCCACCTTACGTCACAAACAGATGTTAAAACAATTGCATTCTCATCACAACGACTAGAAAGGAGCTCAATTCTGACACGGAGGAGAAATGAAGACCCGAGGACGAGTATTTACAAAACGTTGTGTACATCAGAGGGTGCCGGAGGCGGGAAAAGGGAGACTCTTAAATCTTCAAGTTCTAAAACAGCACAGGAGGTCAAGAAGAATGCATAGACGGCAGTTCTCTTCAGAAAAGCAGGCCATTTGGCAACTCAAGGCCCGTATTATAAGGAACCAGAAATAGAATATTACCTGTGGATAATTCAACTAAACACTGCATACGGCCAAAGCATGGGGGTGGGAGAGGGAGGGAGAGCCGCATGAGCCGGGACTGCAGCCCACTGCTTCTGGTGGAGAAATCACAGGAAGTCTGAGAACAGCACGCTGACGATGACAAGAGGGCAGCTAACGGCATACTCCGGCCATTCGCCAGGAGGATTCCGGAATGCCGCGTAACTTCTATCACACAGCTGCTAATGCACTCGGGCAGGGAACAGAAATGGTCTGAGCGTTCTCGTGCCTGTGACAGGGGCCCAAGGTGTCTGCAGTGACAAGCCGGAGGATCCCGCTGCCATGGGAAACGCAGAGAGATGGTCCACGCCTGCATCCGAAGCTGAGACCCTTTCGAGCTTCATGGCTGATGGGCTCCTTACACTCCACGGGCAGAACACTGTCACCGTCTCTGCCCACACATCACCTTCTGCGTGCCGAACGTCTGCGAATGGCTCATCACCTCATTTAGAGAGCCACACGTCTCCCGCAGCAGCACACTTAACCAGCCATCTCGTTCTAGAGACATATGCCTGACCCCCCCCTCCCATCAGTTCCTCTCGGGTCCCCGGCCTTCCCTTCCCATTGTTCCTTCAGATCCTCAGATGCCAGAGGGGCAACTCTTAACAGCCGCCTAACTGGCCCTCCTTCCTCTGAGGTCTATTCTAGTTTGGCCCCCCA